AAAGAAAAGAGAGAGATCGTTGGGGAATGAGAAGAGTTAAGGGTTCAATGTAACAATGTTTATAACCAATTTCAAATGGGTAAGAACTAAGTGGAGCGGACTTGCAGGATTCTCTCTTGACGTAATTAAGAGAGTGTGTGTGAGTGCCGAAAATATGGTTGTGTACGCGAGTGTGTGCCACATTGTTTGGGTTGAACAAAAGCCAAGTAAACAATTTTTTAGAAAAAAATAGTTTTTTACATCATTTTCCAAAAATGCCTACCTTTAAAAATTTCAATAAGTAAAATTTTTACACCAGTTGACTCTCACTCACTACCTTTGCAACACATTAGCAATTTTCAAAATAAAACATTTTAACTCACTAAAAAGTATAAAATGACACTTTATTGAATCAAAATTTCTCTTTTAGGTAATGAAAATATTGTTTCATTTCAAGTGTAACCAAACGTTGGTAAAAAAAAAAATTATGTGTAAATCAATTTTCAAGAAAATATTTTTTTAAAAAAATATTTTACGTCGAAAACAAACGGAGCCTGAAAGAAAAAATCTTCTAGTGGGCAAGCTCAATTAGTAAAATTGTATAGTGTTGCCCACAAATAAATTAAAATCCACTTCCCTACATGGATTTCCCGGGTTAACAAATTTTAACGCCACTGAAGGATTTACCTGTGTCCTCTATCTAAGTAAGAAATTTAATCGCATAAAAACAGGGTATAATTACAATGAGATTTGGATAAAATATAGTAGTCCAATTTTTGGCATAATTACATTGAGGTTTCCTTAAGATTTTATTCACATCCAAACTTTAACCCCATTTTTTCATTAATATTTTGTTAGTCGTATGCATGAAAGACATGTTGGTCAATCTTTTTTACAACCTGAAATGTGTATTGTTCCTTGTTTCATCTTTGGTTCTTCACACCAATCTATATTAGTTTTGTGGTCCATTTAGTCTTAATAAAAGGGAGACGCAGTGTAACTATACCAAAACTGTGGGCTTCTTGTATTTTCTCCCAACTCTCAAAGGGAGGTCAGTGTAATTTAACCCTAAAAATGACAACGAATTTTTTTCTTTCCAAATTCTAAACCCAATGAGGAGTGGGGTCTCTCCCCTCCATCTAGCTAGACTAACAGTAGCAACCCACTGAAATTTTAACACAGAAAACAGATAAAAACTCATGGATTTTAAGGAGCAGCATTAAGAACTTACCTGGATTCTTTTTTCCTCTGCTGCAAAATTTGCCTCGTGTTCTTCTCCGTATGAACATGAGACTGAAAGTTTTCATCGCACATGGTTGTCACCTGACATGCAGCACCGGTCCCCACTCTCTCCGAAACATTCTCTGGAGCAGGTAATCTCGTGAAACTTTGTCTCTACAACGCCACCAGCTGGCCGCTGCAGGTACCTCCATGACTTGTTCTCTCTTAATTTGTGTCACAGTCTTTTCTATGATTTCGCTTAACTGCAACTGTTTTCTTTTCAGTTTGAATAAAAGATTTGCCTCTAACAACAGGTAACCTGGCAATAATGTAAGATTAGCAGAGAGTCGATTACCAAGTATTACCTGCTGATCTTGCTTTCCTTACAACAACATTGTTTCATGCATTATGCAAATAAAACCAAAAAACAGAACTGAATCGCAGTGAACAATAGCAAATTGAAAATTGAATCATATGATTCACTCTTCAACAGCACAATTCAAATCATTTTGGTTGAAACTCGTATCGAATCATGAATCACACGATTCTAACAACCATGATGAATACAACATAGGAAACCTTAGAAAGGTAGTGGAAGTTAATAGTACAAACTAAACCAGCAAAAAGCAACTGTAAATGGGTTGAACATATGAATGAAAAATTGAATGGAAAATTGCAGCACTTGAGGAACCAAAATATAATGAAAAATATGATAGGAGACGTTACCTGTTCTGTTGCAGCTGCAGGAATTTTCTCGTTCAGTTTCCCTGCTTTGGTATTCTTGTTGGCAACATTAGGCTCTTTGAATTTGGACTAGAATAGGAAATAAGATGGTTCATCAGTGGTTATCTTCAAATAAAAATATAAAATATGATAGAAAATAACATAGGAAATCTTACCCATTGTGTTAAATCTGACTGAATTTTCTCCTTTGGTTCCATTGCTTCAGCATGCTCCTTGGCAACATTAGGCTCTTTGAATGTCTAACAAAAAAGATGGGTCATAGATAATTTGAACATTGAGCTCGAACTCATATCCCACATAGGTACACTTGCGGAATTGAAAAGTGAAGAGTGAAGAGTTCATGAAACATTGTTTATGTTAGAATTTCCCATCTTTACCTTCACCTACTCCACTACACACTCCACTTCACCTACCTCCACTTCACCACACACTCCACTTCACCTAACCCACTATCACCTCCACTACACCTACTACCACATTTTCTTCTATATATAGATTGTATAGGAATTGTAATTAATCAATCTTGTAATACATCAATACATCAATCAATAATATACATCAATTTATTTTTTACATGGTATCAGAGCAAGGTTAAGAACTTAGTGATTCCGTTTCACCGGCGGGCGGCAGCCTCGCTTTGGCCGTCCGCCGGACAAACCCAAATTTTCTAATTCTCTCTCTATACCGCCGGCGATCTCCAATGGCCATCTTAGACAAACCTCCTCACTCTCTCATTCCTAGCTTCCTTTACTCCTCTCTGACATCACCATCGATGAAACTCATCGATTTTAAGCATTTCGTTTCGAATCGAAACCCAGATTTCTATTCTTCGTCTTCGATGAAAAAATCGATCGACATATTGTTCATGATCCGCCGTCATACTGCGCCACCGTTCGTTCTCACCATCAACTTCGTTCGGAATCGCCTCAGATTTGAGATCTGAAACAGCCGCGGATGATTTGAATCAAAACACTCTCCACATGTTGAAGCAAGACAAATAGTTGTTCCAGATCTGAGATCTGTTTCTGAAACAGATATGCGAGAGGAAAGAGGGATCTATTTCCCAGTTTCGAAAAACTGCAATGATACACGTCACATAGATCGGATCGGACTCGATTCAACTTTGTGCTCATCGTACTACCGGTTCTCACGATCCTTCTCACCGCCAATATACTGTTTTTTTTTTGTTTTTGGTCTTGATTGGAGTTGTGCTTGTTTTGATTCACGCTGCTTTGATGAAGATTGATGACTGGGTCTTTGATGAAGAGGCTGACGGAGCTAGTGTTTAGCACATTGCTCTCTGCTATTGGTGCTCTTGTTTCTGTATTAGTATTGATTGCTAATATAGAAACAGTAGTATTGATTGTTTCTCCATCTCTCTCTCTCTCTCTAACCAACCTAACCCATCAATCTCTCACTCTCTTTCTCTGTCCATGGCAGAACTTGACTAAACCCAACAATAATCGACAGACTACACATTCCCTTTTCCTACCTTCTCCACCTATTTATTTTATTATTATTGTGTACACATCTAACCCACCAACTTACTGCTTTTGTCCCCCACCATACTTGTTTTCATAACCCACCATAATTTCTCACCAACCCACACCAGCACTCACTTCCCTTTTTTTTTTATTTTTTTATTTTACACATTTTTCTCCGGAAAGTGAGCCAGCTCTTTTCAACTCATTTTCCATTACATTTTTATTTTTATTTTTAAATAAAAATAAAAATAAAAAAAAAAACTTAACAAAAAAAAAAAAAAAAAAAAAAAAAAAAAAAAACCACACCAAAAAAATTTTTTCCCCGTTAACTCAATTTATTGATTAAAAAATCAATTTTAAAAAAAAAAAAAAAAAACTACATTCATTTCAGTTATTTTTCTGCCTTACCACACCTCCCATTCCAATTTGCAAAACACACTTATTTTATTCATATCAGGGATTCACCCCGATCACAATTTTACACAAAAAAAAAAAAAAAAAAAAAAAAAAAAACAACAACAAACAAAATTATAAGCAACTATACGCATAACCTGCACCACACTTCACACATGGTTGGTGAATATGGATTATTTTCATTATCTCCACTCGTCTGGCAGGCCTCTTTTACCTTCCATTCAAGTTCGCCCTAATGGAACGCAGCCCACTCTGTCCCGATATAGCTGCCTTTTTCTCCTCAGTATGTGTTTCGCTGTGCACAACATCGCTACTGATGAAGCGAACTGCTCAACTCAAATGTTGAATAGTGATTTCCCCATAGCCTCATCTAGTCGCCAGATCACAATGAGCGGCTCCGTTTTAACTCTAGAATCTGTGGAGAGGAGGTATCCAACAATTCACACTCTGTGATAAGAGAACCTCTAGCCGCGCTTCCTACTTCTCGCAGATTTTTTCTGCACTCCTTTTGTTGCCGCTATCTCTACATACAAGTACGGGTGAGACACAAGTACAATAGTACAATGATTGCGCATACACCTTATACATGCGGTTGGAGCAGAGCAGCTGTGCGATGTTGTATAAATCTAGGCTTGGGCATTGCTTGCCTTTTTCATTGCTTTGACCCATAGGACATTATTTGTTCCTCTTAAGAAACAGCGATCCTGGCACAGTCCGTGAGGTCTTCTGGATGTCCTCTATAGTTGGAATCTTCTTCTCGTTGAGACACCATGCAGATTTTGGCTTTTTGAGAGTCTCTTGGGAGAGGCAAGCCACTTGTATCCATAACACATCGCTTTATCTCTCCAGCTATTGCAAACCACTTCAAGGTCATGTCATTTGGAGTTGTATGGAGACCGCGCATCACCTATAGTCCTCTCTCTTTTACCAACGTGTGACATCTGGCCTCTTATAGTTTATTTTCATTGTCATATATCGGGACTCTTGCGCATTACTTGCAACTACGAATCATCACATCCCGCAGATTTATATACTTAAAATTGCTCTAATGGACTGGCACAAATGTCTTGCGCAGCGGCGCTGTTGGTGAGTAGTCGTAGGTTTATTCTTTCACAAAAGGGTGAGCAATCAATGGGGTCTTTTGAAGCTCTACAAGTTGGTCTTCGCATATTGTACATTCTCTTACATTGTTTGACCTATTTGAAATACGTATGGAAGGAGTAACCAGGAGCGAATGAGTGGGAGAGGAGCGAGTTGGATCGGTACTCTCGCAGCTGGTGTGTAGAGATAGTAGGAAGCACTTTCTTCTTCTTGAGGATCTCTTATATCAAAATGTAGTCGTTTTCTGATCCGCTTTCCTCTCCGTTTCGGAAGGATTGGAGTCATGTATTTGAAGTTTTGCGGATAGACATAATGGGTCTGGATGCTGATTTCTAGGTGGACGGTGTTCAAATGTTCTCATTGCCCTCACACGCCTCAGCCTTTCGGTCTTGGGGAAACTTATTAGCCAGGTTGTGCTATGCCATACGGCGCATTGGAGACGCACTGAGAGTTCTTTGTGTGGTCGATAATTCTCGGCTGTCAAAACGGGTGTGCTTACTTGTTATGACTCTATATAGGGAGCGCTCAATCAAGAGTAGGCCATGAGGAGCGAGCGAATTTCTAATGTCCCGGTTTCTTGCGTTGGTGTCACTACTCCTTTAGTTGATATTGATAGTTCTGCGGGTGGGTTTTTTATCTCTACAGCTCATGAAGAAGACTGGGATGAGTTTCTGTTTCTTGCATGGTGTTTCCGGTGTTTTGCTGCTTTTACGTTTATGGCCATTTCTAGACATGATTAAACATAAAATAACTCAACATTAAATCACAGAGAACAATTGAACAGCCTTAGAAGAAATTGGACATGTCAGAAAAAATTTTACAAGATAAAGGGGACAAAATTACAGATAAGATGAAAATGTGGAGATTTTAGAGAAAATTTGACAGATAAGGGAAAATTACAGAAAATTGGACATGCCAGAGAAAAATTGGACATTAAAAAAATTAAATGTCAGAGAAATCAAACAAAGCATCATAACATGGGAAGAGAAAAATTTTCAAATAATTGTTAAAATTACATACTTTTATTTGAGGAAATGGTGGAGACACATCACGCCTTCCTAGATAGATAAAAATTGAAATGTGAGCAGGGAAACGAAAAGTAAACATGGTCACTAGTTTACTCAGAGGAGACAACGTAATCCTTTTCTAGGATAATATCTCATCAGAGTTAGCACAGGACAAACCTTTATATGGGCCAAGAGTTAAGCTGAGTTATACTTATTTAAGGGCCAGCTTCCGAGAAAAGAATCTCTCTGTAACAACCTTGGTCAGCACCATTTTGAGAGATACTCACACCGAGTGTAGAACTCCTTCAAATGGAGAGACATATCCGGCACAAGAAGATCGATAGTAAAATACTGATCCAGTATCATTCCGGAGAAATAATTACAATCGCTATATCGTCTGAGCGAATTTTCTAGTGTCTATCAGGAACAATTTCGACTTCCATTGGTAAAATAAAGCTTGTTACACCACAGAGATGACCCAGATAGATGAAACTTCGGTTACTATTCTACACACAAGAGCGCTAGGACGCAGACAATTAAGCATCCATGAATACTGAAGACAAACTCGTCCCAGACGGTATGGAGAGAGAGGTGATTGTGATCAGCTGAGGTTAAGTTTCTAGAATAGTTATAAAGGTGCCTACGAAGAGCAAGTAACTGGAGAGTTAACTGTCACAACAGAAGGCAAGAGAGTAATAGACATTCCAGAGAAAAAATTACATATTCTAACAACTGTCAGAGAAATCATTATCGTAAATGACATAAGAACAATTCATAGACAAAATCACAGAACACTGTTAAACGGGGGTCCGGACACAATTAGGACCACCGATACTATAAAACACACCTGTGTAGATACACTACATTCTTGTTGCAGACACACAATCACATGTCAGGGGCATCAGAAAATTCAAACGCACAAAAGACTAGTCTTTCATCTCCAGTATCCATAAATTTAAAACCATGTCAGAGGAAACATCCTAAACATGATAACCAGACAATAACAGCAGGAGGTATAGATAGTGATCGTGCATTGCTATTGTGGATTATAGGAAACCAACCATACAGGTGTCTCTACACGGATATGACACCCACCATCCAGTGTCCTCTACCGAGAAAATCATACGAAATACCTTATGGGCACCAAGATGTTCAAGTAGCTTTTATGTAACCAGAGTATCACAACCAGAAAAGCAGGTCTGGTAAACTTGACCAGAACTATTCCAGAGAAGATAGACAAATCTAATTCTCACACTTAATCATTATTTATTACTTATAATTATTTGAAGTGATATTATTTTATCTTTAGTTTGAGCTATCCGTCACTAACACTCTTATGACCAAAACACTCAAAATCATCGAGGTATATATAGTTTACTTATCTCACTACCTGAACAGTTATTGCGGGGAGGATGAACTGTATACAAGAATATATACACGAAAATTGCAATCTCTTAACAA